TTTATCCGATAAAGGATAACATGGACACCGAGCATTCCCTGTTCACATAGGGTTTTGCGCTCGAAGCCAACGGTTTAAAGACGAGATTCTAGCGCAAGAAGGAGTGCTGAGGTTTTAGGGATGGAAACATGCGAGAAGAGGAGAAACAATAGACAAGCGGGACCTCGCAACTAAATTTTGCAGCAGTCAGATGCTGGTCACACCTTTTTGGCATTACCACAGACCTGGGAACAGCGCTCTTCCATTCTTTATTTTAGTGTTTAGGGAGACTCAAAAATAGGAAAAAAAAACTCTGCGGCTAGAGCTAGGGATAATGTGCGCGGTTCACAATGATGGAAAACTCACTGGATTTGAGATAATGCGTCAAACTCCATTCTTCTTAGGTTATCCCAATCAAAACGTGGATGGTTTTACTTACTAGGGAAGGTCGTCAGGTCGAAGTGGCCATTTGTAATGAGATGTAGCTCACTAGACGTGGTTTTGGACGCTGATCTCGAATCTGCCTTCGAAATTTGCAGAACGATTCTCTGAACGGAGTTATGGAGCTTTTTCCACCGCGTTTACCACGCAACAGGTCGTGGGATCGGATCCCTGCTGAGCTTAACTTTTTTGCTTCTTGTGCAAACGTGGCAAAAAGTGGTTGTGGCGTCACTACTACATTAGCGCTCTCCTTGACTTGCCTGAAAAACAGTTTGTGTTCGCTTACTGGCGCGCTTAGTGCCTTATGATCTAGGAGAATTTTTGGATGTACAGGTGCCCTTGGCGCGGAGTGCAGGCGTTTTCGCGCTGAGCGAGTGCCATATTCGTGTTTATCGGGGCGAACTACGCCTAGGTAGAGGTTTCTAGCCAAATCTGGCATTTTGACCTGACTTCGAAAAGTGAAGCATCCATGGGTTAGTTCAGTTGATGTTCACACCTATTCAGCTGCAGATACATTCTCCTGCACAAAGCCTCGTCTTGCCACTTCTTACGCATTCATGTTGTTACTGCTCCAGTTTTCCTGGTATCTAAAAGCAAATTCCGTCCAAAGACAAGCAATCGACAAGAGACTGGCCCTGGAACTATTGGTGACCATCATTCGATCAACTGCTACCGCACTTTTCAAAGTTAGGTCAAAACCTCACATCTGGCTAGAAACCTGTCCCCAAGGGTAGTTTTGCTCCCTGAACACGAATATGGCACCCATTTGGCGTTTGAGTGTTTTCTAGACTTAAAAGAGACATTCCCCACAAAATGCAAAAGAAGTTCCCTTCCAGAAATCCGAACCCTTCATAGCATGCCCGCGAAGCAAGACCATTACCACTACACCATGCCACCGTTGAACGAAATCGTGCTTCCCGGCTATTTATGCGATGGCTGGCAACCGCGCTCGACTCTGTTTTCCTTCATTTTAATTCTAACAAACCTTCATAATTCCGTTCAGAGAATCGTTCTGCAAATTTCGAAGGCAGATTCGAGATCAGCGTCCAAAACCACGTCTAGTGAGCTACATCTCATTACAAATGGCCACTTCGACCTGACGACCTTCCCTAGTTAGATAAAACGAAGAAGAAAACAGAACAAAAATGTACTGCTCATGATGCAGGACTTTCTGCCTAACTCGACGTCAAGGCATATCCAGTTTCAGACCAGGTTTAATATTTTCAATGAATTGAAGCGAATATTCCCTCAGAAAAAGCAGAATTTATTAGACTGATCAAAATCTTAACAAAACGACTATTGTACCAGTATGTATCAATAAAGTGACACTATAAATAAGATCAATCAAACGGTCACAAACAGATCATTTGAAGCCGGCCGGCGTTCAGGAAGAACTCGGATGGTTTGAGATGTTCGAAACAGATGAATTCCTTTTCGAGTCAATTTCTATCAGGAATGTCTCCATCGGTTCCTGAAGTTAATAATTTCACATTGCGATTATTGAAGTTCTTTTTGGCATGCACAGGAGTTCGGCTCACCTTGAGCTACATAATTTGGACTCTTCAAAATCTACTAAGACTGTTGATCTCACCTTCACACCTTTCACTTTTATCTTTCCACGGCTTTGTAGACGATAGCCACCACGCCTCAAAAGTTCACCCATTTCTGTGGTCACCTGGAATACACTCCATTAAATGGGAAGTCATGAGAAAAAATACAACACAACCTAAGAACTTAATAAATAAAATGCTTGTGTCGAAGAACGGGACACCGATGTGGTCACAGTGTGGTCTCCACCAAACCGTCGAGGTGGGGGGGGGAGGTGGTAGACCCGCTACCATGAAGTTCCGGAAGAATGAGGTCTTTCTATATGCCGACGTCACGCTTCCAGAACTATTTCCTTACTAATGTTGTTTGACACTATCGACACAGTAAAAAGATGGTCTTCGATCCCTTCATGAGATGCGGCATAGATTATGCTTCCATCCAGAACCGTGTGAAAGTTAGAAAGTCAGTATTATTATATTATCCTCCCTGTCGAATCTGGCACAAATTTGCGGTTCCCGGGGGAAGGTAGGCTGGCTGGCCTAAGCAGGAGCCGATCTGGGTCCAAGACGGCGCTCATCTCGCATACCATAATGCCACTACACCATGTCGGCCTGGCGCAATAGTGAAGGTCAAAGCCAAAATCTGACCAGTCACTCAATCTCATCAGTAGTCTGACCCGATGCAGCCAACCGTCAAGGCTTCGCCTTCCGTTTAGGCGACCCAAACAGCGGCCTCCACAAGCTCACCAGTGAACCCAGTGCCCATTCAAGAAACATGTAACCTTCTCAAGCTACATTAAGATGTCACCGTATACTATAGTTAATGACCATTGAATTCTGATCTACCCTGAACCATATCCATTGCGTGATAACCATTCCCACACCCCCCCCCCCCCGCCCCCTCATTTTCCAAAGGTGAAAGCAATGACATCAAGCTTCAAACTTTCTTAGGGAAGATGAATAAGCACAAGATCATACATGTATTTTTCTCGGCTCTCCATGGAGTATCCATTCGACTGGCGAGATTTACCGTATTCCCCCAGATATCGTACTGTGGTTTTTGAGCTCCAATAACGCCAGCCACAAGTGGGCCAACACTCATACCTGAAAGTATGGCACAGAATAAAACCAAAATGAGTTGAACCTGCATAATTAGATGATTGTGTTTTCAGGGCAAAAAGAGGAAAGCTCCGAGTGGTTCATGGGATCTGTGCAAACCAGTGCAGGCATACAGCTCTCCCAACTGTAAACAGTAGCAGTTGACTGGTTCCTCTTCGCACTGCACGCATTATATTAAATCTACAGTTATGGGGGCACAATGCTACCAGGCCTGCACGTAATCAGTACAGGTTTGAAAAAAATTTTTTCACCTACCTATTCGTAATTCGAAGTTTTGAAATGAATCGCGATTTAATTGGTCGAGTATCTGAGACATGGCCAATGCGAATTCGATCATCATTGTCGCATTACGGTACATTTTCAGGTTCTGTAATTATATAAACTAATGGGCATAGAGTTATCCATTTGCAGCGCCTCATTAGTTCACTAATGACCTAGTTAGGCGAGCTGAATATCATGGGTCGTTCTCTGTAAGCCTGTCAAAACCACTGAAGAATCTGGGAGAGGTGAGCAACTACTCAACAAAAACTGTTGGAACCCACAAACTTTCTCACCACCGAGCTCAAGCAAAACTTCTCATGCTTTAGCTCGGAGCTGTGTCTATGGACCTCTCAGCGCTTGATGCTGTCCAAGATTCAGAGAACGACAGTAGCAAACGAAAGTCTTGATCGCTTCGGATGGGGCGTGTCAGTGATGTCGGGTTCGCCGCTAGCTTGTTGTTAACCAGTTGATGACCAATGAAGCAAAGGGCAGAAACCGGTTATTTCACAAACGACAATAAACAGTCTTCTCGCTTGCCGAGAGAAGAAAAAACGAAAAGGAAAAGGCTGGCGGTTCTCTTATTCCATCCGCTTGACAAGCTCCATCAGCAAAGCGACTGTTTCTATTTTTCGCATGATTGTGCTGCGTTCCAGACTCACTCCAAATCCCTGAGATGCGGTAGGCGTGGCTGCGTACTCGAAGTGAGCGTGGCCGCAGCCTAAGCTTTCCTCAGATGTTTTCATTTTGGGACAGTGTAATCGCGCCTTTGTCCAACATGGAACAAGATGGCAATTGTACCAAACTGATAAATCCCACGAGTGACCCATCCTATGACATTGCCAAGTGCCACCCCTACCCCTTCTTCAGGGATAGGGAGTGTACAAACTCACAAGATTTCGTGCGTCGCCATTTCTGTTGATGTTGATGATATTGTTGTTGGTTACAAGGACATGATTAGCACTGCGATTGTCCTCGGTGAACTCCTGAAATCGTCTTATACTTATTCGTTGATGGATCACATCCAGGAATTCTTCAGCGATTCCTAATGTGAGATGGTTTAGCTGTTTGAATGTTCAATTCTGAGAGGGTATTATGAGAAAATAATCACAAAACGCCATGCTGTAATGTAATTATGTTAGCTGTAATAAGTTCGTCATGGTCCCTGTAAAAGATAAGGTGTGTGACGGGGGGTTGGAGCGAAGCCAGAGTAGCCTTTCCCACTAGTTGTAGTGACCTCAGGATAGCACCATTAGTGGGGAAAATGGCGCCTTGGCGCACTGCACTCCGTGTAGGGTACAGCATCGTGATGCGTGAAATAGTGGTCTCAGTGCGACTCCCCCTCCCCCAACTGGATGAGGGTCTTAGTGTGACCTTACCCCCCCCCTCAAAGCACCTTCCTACCACTGTTCCAGGCTCCCACCTTCTTACCAGGTTCCCGAAATTTCTTACATTTTCCAGTTTTTCACCCAAAAACTTTCCGTCGGGGGAAGAGTACATAGCCAAGAGAAGGTTACGTCACAGCTTGGATGGGAAATCAACTCATAGCGAGCAGTGACATTTCGATTGTAAAAGGTTTACCTACCCCTTCCCTATAACAACGGTTACTTCCCTATACCGATACGGTGGCTCAGTCTATCCTAAGTGTATAGAGGATTCACCTGAGAACCAGTGGAACACACAAGGATGTTTCGTGAACACACAAGGGATCACACTGACAAGATTCTCCCCAAGATGGAAGCCGCACGAACAGGACAAACATAATCTTTGATGACCGATTGAATATAGGGTATAGGCTCACGGTGCGCATCGTTTCACCTTAGGCACTCAGAGATAGTCCAGTGAGTTCTCGCGTAGCCTCCCCACGATGACATGAGTGGTGTTAAAGGAGCGATCCGCGGTGACCTATGAAAATGCAAAAGACTGTTATAAATGTGGTCCGCAGTGAGCAACCTTGTGCCAGTTGTACGGCCGAAAGTTGTGAGGTGTATCCTTCTGTGACTCTGCCTCTAGACTCCGCCTCCAAAGCCCGCCCTAAAGCCCAACACAACGGACACGTAGCGTGAAATGTTACCGGACACGAAGCGTGGAATGGATGCTACGCAGTCGCTTGTGGGGTCGTAGGGTCTGTTGCAAGGAGTCAGCTAACTGAAACCGCCCCAACGAGCGGTTTTTTGCATTTCACCCACTGGTTGGAGACTGGAGGGGTCATATATGTGTTTCCGTCGTGTCCTTTGATATTTTCTCTTCACGAACGAGTCACTTGGCAAATTACACCCAACATTTTACCACCAACACCTGCTCTCCTTATCGCGGACCGTACTTTAAAGGCAGCGTCCGCGTTTATTTGATGTTCCTAACGCCCTCCTTAGATATCGTAGCTTTGTCGACAAGGGTGTACTAATTTCGCAGCTCAAAAGTACGAGAGGATGGGGCCACCCGCTTGTGAAGAGGATGCCGCCCCGCCCACCTGGCTGCCATAACTGCTTTGGCTTAGCCTTCAAAGCTGAGCCCGCTTTCAAGAATAATGAGTTATGGAGCTCATATAATACGTGATCCAGTAGTGAAGAAAAAAAGCAGAAAAAAATCATGGAAAATGCCCTATATAGAACCCTATGCTGGCCAGGTGGGCGGGGCGGCCGACTTCACTAGCGAACGGCGCTATCCTCTCGCCTTTTTGAGATGCAAAACTAGTACATACTGCATCCTCATAGGGAGGGCTATGATATCCAGAGAGGGCGCGGGAACATCAAATGAATGTGGGCGCTGCCCGTAAGGCATCTCAACGAGCCTACGACGTCAGTGGTGGCCGACAAAAAGCCATCCGTTCCTTTTACGACTGTGTCAAAACTAATGAGAAACGAAAGATGGGGAAGAGACTAGAGAGAAAGATGGAGAAGCAAAAATCTGTAAATAATCTGTAATTGTTTTATACTGAAGTTGGATCGTATCTGCATCTCCGCTAACGCCCTCCTGCGCACCTATAAAGGCATGGCTACCGCCCATGAGGCAATCATCCTAACAAAGAGAATGATCGAGTTGTAGACTGCTGTCAAAACGAAAGTACCCTCTCAATTACCTTAACCTGTCCAATTCCTGTCATTAATCTCTCGAGAACTATAACTTACACAGTCATCAAGATCTGCTTCCATTTCATTCAGGCCAGCGGCTGCCATGTAAGTGCTGGAAACGGTTTTGATCTTCTCTATGGAAGAGAACTTCGGCTTTGAGAGGAGCTGAAATGGAACATTTCAAAAACATATAAATGGGGAAAAGAAAATTTGTGAAGAGGAAGCAATCGTAGCTGTTTGTTAGTCTTATACAAAAAGAGTACCACAAAAATTGACTGCAAAAAATGTGAGAAAAATTTATGTGATCTTGTTACGGTCGCTATAAGATTTTTGGCGCAGTTTTCCTCGAATGGGGTAGGTTTTTTTGTGACTGCGTTCTTTTCGCTTTGAAGCAAGTGTTGTCATGTCATTGCCCAGTACGAGACAGGAGTGAAAATACCTCACTCTACGCCATATTCGAATTAAATATGCAGCCACGCCCTCTCCGTCTTTGGGATATAGAGTGCACGCCAGCCAATTTTCTTGGATTCTGGCATCTGAAGCCTCTTCTGCCAGTTCACACTCAATTCACAAGAAAGAAAGCTATTTTCGAACTCACTTTATCGAATTCACACACGATTTCGTTTAGAAGTCGTAAGCATTCCAGCTTCCGACTAGTGTCCCACTGGCTCCAGAAATCTTTGAAATTTGGTATGGAAGCGAACATCACACAAACGTTCTCATGCTGACGTGCATACAATTCCTGAAAGCAATTACACGAAAAGTAGAGATGGTACAGTAACCAGCGGTGCGTCATGTGGTGGTGTCCCTGGTCGCAAACGTTTTGGTACGGCCCCAGCTTGATTCCACTACTCCTGGACGGGCAGCCATTGATGGAAATAGGCTGACGCCGCGCCATAACGTGTCCCGACATGGGAAGCCTCCACCTGACGATAAGCACTGTATGTTCGGCCTTGAAGTGCAATCCTAGGCTTGTGCCCCGGACGCGTAGACCCACATTGACTGGTCTATCCGGCGCCAGGAATTTGCACGCAACACTGCTTGGTAGAATATTCTCGATGAGCAGTTTATTGATATCCTGCATCGTTTCCACATCACGTTCCTCGTTCTTGAACGACACATTGCAAGCGTTTTCCGCTTTCCTTTCATAATTCGTCTGAAATTGGCCTGCCTTCAAGTCTAAACTCAGAAAATTAATAGCTCACATAAAAAAATCGTCGAAAAAGAAATCTTACTGACTATGATGATAAATCAATCAAATGAGAAACACTGAGGTACTGGGGGAAGGAGACGAGAGTAAAGAGATACACATACTCGGCTATGGGCGGCTATGGGCTACCTTTTCGATATGAGGAACGAGATGAATGAAGTCCTGGCAAGGAATGCGCAGCTATTAGAGGAGAATAGGCTAGTTAAGGAAAAGAACTGTATGCTGCAGAGTGAGATCGATTCTCTTAAGTCTCAAATTAATGTTCTCAAAAAATCGCTATCTGATGATCCTCCCCAATCGAAGGAGGGCCCTAATGAATCTTCTTCTCTCGCATTTGAAGAAATTGAACGTAGGCGATCTGTAGTAATAGCTGGTGTTAGTGAATGTGATTCTAATGTATCCTCTGTAAGGGTTTCATATGATATTGCCTGTGTACGCAGAATTAATGATTTTCTCTCCATTGATTCACACCCAGTTAGTGTTTACAGGATGGGTAAATATATGGCCGGTAGACCTCGCCTTCTGAAGGTTGTATTTCCTTCTTCTTTTCTTCTCATCACTGCTCCTTAGAAGAGCGCCACGGTTGAGATTTTTCCCCGAGAAGGGGATCTTTATCAGACCTTCGTTACCTCTTTCCGAGCGAAAGCGTTTCAAAGTTTCAAACGGTAATAGTGTCGTTCCTAGTACCTCTCCTGTTACTCTGTCATTGTCTTCCGGTACACAATCAGATAGCAGAAACAATTTGAATGATCATAATAGTCTGTCCCCACCTCATCTCTCAGTGAAGCACAACCTTTAAACATGTAAAAGGTCTCAGGAATACAGGCTCAAACGTTTTGTGCGTCGTAGCAAATGTGAGATCTCTAAGTAAGAATTCGCAAGCACTTTCTCTGCTCATAAAACAAAAGAGCCCCGATATTGTAGGAATAACCGAGACATGGCTCAACCCCACCATAAGCCTAGCGTCCCTTATTCATGCAGATTTAGGTCCTTATAGCGTTATGAGGTGTGACCGTCTTACAAAACGTGGAGGAGGATTGGCCCTGTTTATAAAGAACGTTTTTTCACCTATGACCGTCTTCTCTGAATCACTGGCAAATGCATATGAAATTTTATGTTGTGATTTCTGTATCAGATTGTCGAAATTGCGGATTATACTGGTTTATCGAGCACCCAGCTGCACAACAACTGATTCAAATCAGTTGATCAAAGCAATCAGCGACATGGTTTCCTGTAATCAGCCCTCTCTGATTGTTGGGGATTTCAACTTCCCATGTATTGAGTGGAAATTTTCGTTTCATTCTCAGCTGAATCGACTTACGCCTGCTGCTCGAACTTTTCTGGAAATGTGTAATAGTCATTCATTGAGTCAATTCGTTAACATTGCAACGTTGAATGGGAGGACCCTTGACTTGGTTTTGTCCAATGAAGAGAGCTTGATCGAGAACCTGGAAGTATGCTCACCCATTGGTGGCAGTGATCACGCATCTATTATATTCGCTATCAACGCTCATATACTAAAGGACGAAGCAATAACCAGGAGGGATTTTGGTAAAGCGAATTATGAGAACATTGTATGCCACCTTGCGAGTATTGATTGGCTTGGCTCTCTAAATTGTGCAAGCACGGTTGACGCGAAATATGAACTGTTTTTGGGCATTCTCATGGACTGCATTGAACGTTACGTGCCATTAGTAGAGAAGTCGCTTGGAGGTTCAGCCTTACCTCCGTATCTTGCTAATCTGACCCAGAGGCGTGAGCGGGCATGGCATAAGGCACGGATGACTAAGAACTCGGCCGACGAAAGGGAGTTTGAGAGACTAAATAGAAAGTTAGAAAAGAAACTCAAAAAATTTAATACATCAGTCGAGAAAAAAGTTATTAATTCAGAAAACAAAGCAGCTTTCTTCAAGCTGTTGAAATCACGGCTCACCCTGAAAACCAAGGCTACAGTGCTTGTTTCCCCTAGTGGGACCCCGGTCTATGATGACAAGGATAAAGTGGAGTTATTGGCGTCTACTTTCCAAGAAAACTTTTGTTGCCACCATAGGGCCATTGAGGAATTACTACCCCAAGAAACGAAATTTGCTCCCATGAGTGATTCCGTGTGGTTTTACCGTGACGAAATTCTTGAGTTACTCCTCAAATGGCCGGAATCGAATGCGCTCACGCCGGACCTTATACCCCTTCATTTCATAAAAAGGGTGGCCCACTGTTTAGCTGGTCCACTTGAGTACATTTTCAACTTGAGTTTCATGAATGCAGAAGTTCCTCGTCGATGGACCCAGTCATTCATTACTCCCATCCCCAAGAAACCCCCTCATAATTTACCACAAAATGATTTTGAAAAAGAGAATCCTTGATCATCTTCAGAAGTATAATATCATATCTCCCAAACAACATGGCTTCCAAAAAGGAAAGTCAACGGTAACCGCGATGATTCAAGCTCTCAATCATTGGACAAAATGGCTAGATGAGGGTAAGACAGTCGATGTCATCTACCTCGATTTTTGCAAAGCTTTCGACAGAGTTCCTCATGAAAAGCTGCTGTATAAAATGGGGATAGTTGGGATCCACCCAAGAATTATTGCATGGGTTAAAGCTTTTCTAACGGGACGAGAGTTTTCAGTTCGTATCAATTCTTCGTTTTCATTTCCTAGACTGGCATACAGCGGAGTACCTCAAGGCGGGGTTCTTTCACCCATCTTGTTCAACATTTACACTTTCGACCTTATTCCACTTATTGAACAAACAAAAGTCCAAAGTTGTGCATTCGCTGATGACTTAAAACTTTATCATTCCATCGCTGAGGATGACGACGCAAGAGAGCTCCAAGAAGCTTTAAGTAAAGTTGAAAAATGGTCCGAAGATTGGGATCTGCCCCTTTCTGAAACCAAAACGAGTGTACTACATCTTGGCAAACGGAGTGCTCGATATACCTATGAGATCAAAAACACAGCCCTAAAAACTGTGGACAAGGAGTGTAGCTCATCTCACTTCCCACCGGTTGTTAAGAATTGAAACCCGAACGTTGAACGAAATTGAATTCACAAGTACATGTGCTGGACTTCGCCTAAAGCGCAAAAGCCTTCTGCCAGGCTTGGACACGGAAATCACTCTTTGGGGACAAATTTGCTGACAGCTGCTCACCTGGGCTACCCGTGGACCTGTCCGTTTTATTGTATATGTACCTGCTGCACCTCGTTAATACGAAACACGTCCGCAATTCAGTTTTGTTTTTGGACACTCCGTTTCTGGGGAAAGTGTGTTAGGTAGCGTTCAGACGTCGCGATGGCAGCGCTCGGGTCGCGCGTTCGACGCGATCAAAATCGAACAGATCGAAAGCATGCACATCGACCGCCGAACCGTGCGACCGAAGCGCTGCAGTCGCGAAGTCTGAACGCCTTCTTATAGAGTGAGACGTAAAGGACAACGGTTCCGTTTCTCATGAATTTGACCCTTTTCAGATTTTGCTGCGATTTTCGAAGAATTTAATGAAGGACGTTATCACCGTACAATCCAATCGATGAAAAGCACTAGAACCAGTAGGAATGAGAGATTGATGGCGACCGTTGTGAGTTGGTAACTGCAATCAGATTCAGTCAATGAGAAATACGGCGCTCAAACAGAAATAACAATCGAGTCAGTTTATAATGGTCTAGATTCAGGAATCATTACACATATTCCAAACTACTGCAAATTTTTAAATTTACTTTTCTGGTTCAATCCTGAAGCCCGAAAGATTGCCCAAGAGTTCAAAACGGGAAACAATCCGCATGTGTAGTTCGGCAAAGTCACAGAAAATTTGGAAGTACAATGTCCGCTAATCGTATAGGCCCTGTTCTTGTTGACGCACTTCTGTTCTATACCGTCTTAGAAAGAATAGACAACAGTGAAGCTACCGTTGTATGCCCAACCCCGCCTTCCCAACCATCGTAGATCGCACCTCCGAAGAATGTCAGCAACAAACAGCAAAATCAATACCTCAGAAAGCTCTGTGCGGGTGTCGCTCCATAGACGGGGAATATCGACAATAAAATTTCAAAGATCACAAAATCAATAGTGAACAGAATGCATCTGTACGAATACGGGATGCGATACAGTAGGAAAACTGAAGTGATGTGTGAAACGCAGACTGAAAAACACGGCATTCCTGAGGTGACATTACGATGGCAGATTTTCTCACCCTTCAATTTCAAGAAATGTAGAGATACTTTATCACGTACCTGGCATAAAAACCATCGAAGTGAATGGTTTCACCCCGTACAGATTGGATTTGGCAATAATCATCTGAAAGGGAAGTTTCACTTGCAGTTCAATAAAAAACGCTGTGGAAACATCAGAACACCGCTATACGGCCAACCAAGCCCTGGTCGGAAGTAGTAGTCTTCGGATTCTTGACTTTTGTTTTCCGCGCGCTGTACATCCGTTCCATTGGAGTGAAACTGCTAGTACTTACAGAAAATTGGTATTTTTAATAGTTGATGGGTGGTGCCTGCGCCACCCCTTTCCCCTTCCCCACAACGGCAAGCAAAACTGTGGGGAAAAAGATAGACTAGGGAGGATGGGGACTGGGAGGAGTCGCACCAGAGGATGGAATTCCCTGGAATCAATTATATCCCTTGCATTGGAAGTCTGACGAGCAGAAGTGGAGGAACCGAATTGTTCGTCGGTTCCTGTGCCCTTCATCCCCGACTGCTCTGCGCCTAGGCCTATTTGGCTGCCTAAAGAACGCACTGTGGAACCGTTATGTGAAAAAGGAGGGAAATCGGGCCAAATTGGAGCTCGACACGAGGAACTGTAAAGCAAGATTGGAAGGCATTAAAGGCACAGTTCGCGACCGCAAATTGCGGGAAACGGAACTCAAATAGGCACAAAAAAGTGCTAAGTATCTGATTAGCGGAGAAAAGCAGCAGAAAAAGCAGTCCGAAATGTTATAGAGAAAGATAACATAGTGGCTACTAGCTAGTAGCTAGCAGCCGGTGAGGGTCGGCATGGGCCTAAGGGGTGTCCATGGGCCTAATTAGTCAGCTTCTAACGG